TATCAAGACTTGAATATAATGTTAAGTTTTATTTGGTTGACTCTGAGCATTACCTTCGCAACAGAAGTACATCTGTCAGCGACAATCATTCTTAACCTTTTTCAGTGCCAGTAGGTCCGTTCAAGTTACGTGATGAAAACCAGTTTGCTGAACTATGTCATATATGACATGTCACTCAGATGTCGGTCTCTGCATTTTTGATGAATCCAGCCGTCTTTTGTAAATTGTCTACTGGCAATTTTTTTAAAATTTTGTTTTGTTCTTTTTAAAACTGGTGGTCTCAGACAAGCTTATTACGTCTCTTCTCACCACTGGATAGCCGTTGTTACGCGCGGCGCCTGGGCCGACGGGGGAGGGCCGCGTTCTTTGTTCATCAAACAAGTCACCGAAGGGCTGCCAGCCTGCTGTCCGCCGTGTACTGTCCATCTTAGCCGGGAAGTGAGGTGGCATTCCGACACCATAAGACGTTCGACGAGACGACCACAATGGTTTCTTGGTGTTACAGGTGCAGTGTGGTGGCCACGCCCCAATCAAAGACCTTGACTTGAGCGAGTGTGAGCGGCACCGTCAGAAATGGTGTGTGTGTCTCGTGATTCAACAGCGCATTCTGGACCCATTCCCTGATTAAGTCAAAACGTACACTTTATAGTGAGCCACCCAGCTCATTCGCAAGAGACCTCTCGCCCTGTCTGTACAGAATGTAATAAATACTCTGTTAAGTTTGCCATCTTACTCCTGAGTGCACATGCGTTTTATTTTCTGTCTCTCTACACGCCCTTTCTTGCCCCTATTTCTAACCCTCGGTGCTAGGCAGCAAACCGGATGCCAAGATATGGTTTATCCCCCAGCCTTCCTTTCTCTCTTTTGCCATCTTACTGCCTTGGCATCTTCATCCCGGGTATCCAATGTCTTAAAAGGCCGGTACAAACAGACAAGTTAAAAAATAAAACAGATGGTGAATATTTTCTGCAGCATGTTGAGACGCTGCGTATAAGTGGTCATCCTCGAAAATTATCAACTTTAACACCGCGGACAGGTGCTGATATACCCTGAGTAGGTTCGAGCATGTATTATGCCTCAACGCTTTTAATCTTCATTAAACTTCTCTCTTTTGATTTCATCCTTCGGGGTTTTGTGTAGTTCTTCATCTAACGCCTAACCTCCATGTCCTTCCTCATTTATTCCTCCTCCTCCCTTCATCTAACGCGCTGTATTCGTGCTGCACTGCTACCACTTCATTTCTTCTTTATGTACGCCCTGTTTCTGGCACAATTATAGGCTGCCATCTTGGACTGATGATGATGCCGTTTTCCATCCGTATGAGTATTCGAATTGTGCTATGGCGAACTCGCACGCATCAAAACGCTGGGCCATTACATTCAACGTCGTATCACCATAATCATAGCTAATTACGACACAAAAAACAGATAAATTGCTTCTAAGCCTAAGATGGCAGTGTCTATGCTTTACTATAACTGTTACATTTATTTTTTGTCAATTTGTTCAATATGTCATTTCATGCAGCGGCCGCCGAACTCGTTCCGCTGTTCATAGTGGTACTCTCGGTCTCTGAAGCTGGATGAAGATAACTAAGAAGCCTGGTTTTTACTGGCTACATAAAATGTGAAACGAAGCTATAAATCACGATGAAAAAGAAGACAAATCTGTGAAAAGTCAGTACTGGCGCATAAATGGCGCGCCGATTGCGCCGATGAAAAACGTCGGCGGCGGCGGCGGCGGCGGCGCGCCGATCAGTTCGCGTCGGCGGCGACGGCGCGGCGAAAACTATTGGCGGCGGCGCGCTGACCAGTCGGCGCACACCTCTAGCTGGTACCACCCGTCGCCGTGATAATAGTGTTAAAGCCCCTTGATGTTGGGGCTTTAAATAGTGTCGGTCGCGAGCGCCACCACATGGAGATTCTTTAAAACTGAAGGCAGGCCAACTCCGCTGGGAGCGCGAGCCATTCCTCAGGCATCTTTCTAGAGGAGGCGTTGGCCATACATACAGAAAGAAAACTGCCCTCATTCTTTCCTTTGTATGACGATAGTTATAGCGCGGGAACAAAACGACGACACAGAGACAAGAAGGACACGACGTCGTTTTGTTCCCGCGCTATAACTATCGTCATGCCATACCAACTAGCCCAAGCTGCCACACTTCTTTCCTTTGTGTTTTCCTTCCTCCGTGTTGCCATAGGTACAGCTTCAATTCTGGGAAATAATTTTCATTCCAGCAATTTTTTAAAACCTTTTTGGTGCCAGCGTCTCATACAGATTTAATTTATTCGGCTTCGATGGAATCTCATATTGCCTTATTGGGAACATTGGGAAGAGGCATCTTTACACCACACAATCGTGTACTTATACTGTTATACAACGCCTCTTATACTTTGAGATGCCTGGCACGTCGGCCGCTATCCTATTGTTCACCTGCGGCCACCGTGTTTTACCAGACTGCCGCGAGGCAGCGCCAGCTTCTGACACTACGCTTTGCCACAGAAAGTCACTACGCTAGTCACTCTGTGGAGCTTCGCAGCGCTCATCTTTGTGAAAATTTTGTCCTTCAAGGTTTGTAGGGCTTAGCAGAGTGAAAATAAAGTCAAAAACAAAAATAAAAAGTAAATCAAGTGGAACTACAATAGCACAATATTTATTCACTGCAGCAAAAGGCCAGCCTAAGCATTATCTGCCAGGAGCTGGGGTGTGCTGCAGATAACGCAATACGAATAGATATTGCTTCAACATAAAAAAAAATAACATCGATGTAAAGCAAGATCAACTGCAGGTTCATGCACATAATGGCCAGAAAATTGTAAACAAAAAAAAGGGAACGTGTATATATTTTATCACAAGAGTAAGTATCACAGCTATACAAAATAGCAGCAACCTCGGCTGTGAAGAAAAAAATGCAAAATATTGGTAGTCAAAGAAAGTGTAAAGCAGAAAATGACTTTGTTGTCAATGACAATGGTAAAAAATGAGGGGCATCATCATGCATATGTAGCGAAACTAACAATTTAAAGCGAATAGGGTGGAAGAAGAGTTCCCCAATCCATGACACTGCTATCACAGTTGATGTCTGCAGTCTAAAGAAATCACTTCACTGAAAAAAATCAAAGAACAGAACCAATATATGCCGTTTCAAAGCTTCAGTACTTTGCGTGACAGCGGTTTGTTGTGATACATCTTAGCCACTGCATTTCTGTCACTTATGTCTAATGCATGGTTTGAAAATAGGGGCTTCATAAATTTTTTGCATATTACTTTAACAAAAGCCTCTCTCTGGTGATCATTGCAGCTTTTACATTTCAACACAGGCAAGCCTGTGATTGCACTGACACTGTGTTTCAGGAGAGCTTTTCTGTCTGACAGCATTATGTCCACGTATTTCTTCAGTCCATAAAGAACTGTAATGAGTTATTGTGTTGGGTAATAGAGGCCACCCCTGTCTTGGTGGGAAATCAATCCATCCACAGCAGAGTTTCCTTTTGCTTTCCTATCTAAAAACACACAGTTCTCACACGCACTTCTTTCGCTCACTACGCGAGCTATGTAGCCCCCAACAAGTGATATGGCTGCCATATCGGGAGTCGGCAAAAAAGGCTTCGATGACAAGCAAACTTCTTGCAGCACTTGTTGCGCCCTTTTGGCGTTCGCACAGACAGCTGCTGTGCTGCCCCTCACTTCACTTCCACTAACTGCCCGGGAAGAGCAGAAGGAAGTAGACGTGTTGACGTTGCTTCTGTCGGATGATGCGACTATTCCCGTCTTCAAAATTTTTTCTAGTCCAGAAACAGCACTTCTCACATCCATGACGTAAAAAGGTACATTGCCTAATAGTTGTTTCTGACTATATAGGCTTCTTGGCCTTATAATTAATCACTTGGTTCAAAATACTTTTGGCCTTCGTGCACGCAAGCTCCGAGTCTCTGACGACGTTAAGAAATTTGCTGACGTGGCACTCCTCCTTCAAGCGTTCGAGCTCCTTCTTGTACGCGTCAACCGTTGAACGCAACCTCTCATTCTGTGCCTTTAAGGTCTTTTCTTTCTCACGCCACTTTTTGCTCTGCAAGAAAGCCGCTGACGAACTTCGCTCATTAGTCTGCGTGCCAAATGACCTCATGGCGTATGTGGCCTGGCCGGCATGTAGCAGTCTATCTGCGCTATTTGGATCAGGCCTCTCATCGGAATTTTCGCTGGCACGGGACGTGCAGCATTGTTGCATGAAGTCCTGAGAGGCGACGCTGCTGTTGTCACACACGGGCACGTCCACGCAATCAATGGACAACATTGAGTCCGACACATTCTGCTGCGTTGAACAAACACGAGTGAGGTTTTCAGACGCGCCATTGGAAGCTGATTTCGTCGGTGAACATTCGCGTTTCCTTTTTGAAATGGTTCTCTCACCTCGCGGCTTCGACGGTGCTGACCTGAGGTAAGAAGGGTATTGTGGGAAAACACTGGGCTGTAGGCTCCCTAGATAGTGTCAGAACACCGCGGCGCGGCGGTGGCGTGCGTAAACGGGAGAGGGCCGCGCGGAGGAATCGGCGCCGACGCTCCAGGCATTTCAAAGTACAGGAGGCGTTGACTTACACAATAAGCAGAGAGGAAGAAGAAACTGCCGAACACTTGATAATGTTCTGTAAAGGGCTTCACCCTATAGTTCAGGATGGCGCAGAGTTTTTCAAAGCACTGGGGTTTAGGGACCGGAAGGGCAAAATAGACTTTAAGCAAGTAGACTTAACTAGAAGGAGGTTATCTGATTGGTGGCTAAAGTCAAGGCACGAGTAAAAATTAAACTCTTCACTGCAAAGTACGAATCCTCAAACTCACTTTTTAAGGAAAAAATAAATAAATATAGTTTTGAATTCATTAAGTATTACGGCTTGGTGGCGCTAGCCACCGCCCGATCTAAAGGGTAGTCATATTCATCCATCCATCCATCCAGCTTCATTCAGGTAGAGAAGCGGCATTTCGGTTCCTCGCCCATACTAGCGGCCCGGCCACCGGCGAGGAAAGCGCGCCCGTACCGCTCGATCGCTTGTCGGGGGGTTGCGTGCTCGCAAAATGCACAGCACCCGTGGCTCTTGCAGCAGCGCAAACGAAAAACAGCCAAAGCTTATTGTGTTCGACTTGGGTAAGTGCAAAACCTTGTCAGTCGAGAAAAGAACAGCTTCAATGTAGACGCGCGTAGTGTGAGATGTGTTGGATGTGTCGGCGTTGCAGTTTGCAGTAGCAGCGCCGAGCGTTCAAATGCATGTATGAAATCAATCGTTTAAGTAATCATTTCATCCTTTTTTTAAAGGAATAAAGAACCATTTCATCCGTCAGCGTGGCATTGCGAAACATGATCGATAGGGGAGGCCACTGTAAGTGAAACCACGCTTCGATATTCCCATACCGTCGAGTTTAGTATTAAATACGGTACCGTACCAGATCCGCGCCCTTTGCATTTATAAATTCTGTGATAAAGGCACACTCGCACTACAGCGACAACGTGCGCTTACCGCGGTTGATTTGCGCTTGCCACTGCACGATCCTGTCAATCTGGGTGTGACAATTTGCGTTCTAATGCCGGTTGATTGAGTCTATACCTTTAGCTATGGCGCTAACTTTTCTCTGTCTTCTTCTTTTTAAGACTTCACGTTGTGGCCTATCTTTGTGGATGTACACGTCACACCTCCATTTAAAAAAGACAAGTAAGTGCCCAAGTCGCGTTGTGTTCTTTCATTCGCAATTAAAAGTGCTAATTCTCGCTTTGCTGGTCAAGCATTTCTTCAACATGCACGTTGATTGGTACTCTTAATTTGATGGTATAAGACATCTTGCCCATACAGGGGCTTTTTATGGAGGCAAAATAGATGCGCTTCATCTGTTATTAAGCTCTGTACCATATATATATATATATATATATATATATATATATATATATATATATATATATATATATATATATATATATATATATATATATATATATATAGTGTGTGTGTGTGTGTGTAATTTCTTTTGTACAAAAATTTTAAGATCAACATAACTTATCAAAGATTGCCATTTGCACATCCCAAAAACACAAATTATATAATAGTCATGAAGATAAAACTTAGTCCAAGTGCAGCAATAATGTTTGAACAACACTACATCTGCCTTGAATATATGAAGTTGGATATAGCTATGAATGAAAGGAAGGGAGATCAGGTGGGAGGCGAGATATTTGTTTGTCACAGCCATAACCCTTTGCCTCATCATCTGTTCACTGTATGCATACCCGCACACAAGCTACTCTCAGATAAAGAACAACTTGTTAATGATACCCCTTTATTAATGGGATACGAACCACTCTATCTGAAGTAGTTTGCGAGTATAATATGGCAGCAGCAAGCTCAGGAATGAATTGATTGGTGGAACATCGGAGAGGCCTTTGCTATGTATTGGGCATAGTCAGGCTGATGATGATAAACCGATTTTTCGAGTAGTCATCAAGTAACCACACTATCAGAGTGTATTGCCCCACGAATTGATTGGCGCAAAAATTTTTAGAATACTTCATGAACAAGCGAAGTTACAAAGATTTCTTGCAAGATTTAGGTACTCTCTTTTTCCTTCCTTTAAATAAGCATGCTAGAAGCTACGCAGGGAGTAATGACATGGAGGAAATAAGCTATGTCGATGCGCATCATGAATGAGAGCTTGCATTGTGAAACACAATCACTTTTTCCCCGTGTAATTCTAGTGTGTGCTAGTGTTGCTGCTGCGTAATTTTAGCACACAATAGAGTGCCGCACATCATATGGCAGCACTATGGGGCAAGCAGTGCATCTGATCCAAACAGCGCTCTTTGTTTACTTCAGTCTTTCGCCGATAGCAGTGATCTGCTGTATGACAACATTCAGCTGGTGGCCCACCCTTCAATGTGAGTGAGGACGGGCTTTTGTGTGATGAGAGCACACCTCAGAAAGTGGCAACTTCACACTTCACTTGTTGCCATGCACGACTGCAATATTTGGCAGAGCTATTCACAGCACGGACTGCTTTCCGCCAAGTTTGTTTATCACCAAGCGCGAGACGGGAGCCTTTTAGTTTGATTAGTTGTTTGTGCAACTGTTTCATCGGCCGCCTATCTTCAGTGGCCGCACACAATGCAGACGGCCACATGTATATTATAACAGCTCATGTGAATTCACCAGTACTGAATATTTCCTGCCTGTCAAAAAAAGTTATTTATGACATCTTGCACCACATACGTATGGAAAGAAGGAAAGCGTAAATTTAAGGAATCGTTTTGTTTGTTATACAGACCATTAATGGGAACTAACAGATAATGCCAGCAAACGTATAGGGGATGTAGTTATAAGTAATTGTAATGTAAATGAGAAGAAACAAAGTGGATGAAAAAATTTCCAGTTTCTTAGCACGCTTTCCAGCACGACACTAACAGGCTGCAGCAAAAGGGACCTTAAGAAGCGTTCGGCATGCAGCATTCAAGCCCCAATTTCGGCTGTTTGGTGTTGCCAACGGCAGGATCCGAACCTGCGACCTTTGAATGGCCCGGTCTATGCTTTACCACTGAGCTACGGTGGCGGCTTCAATGAAGACTTAAATTGTCAGAACTGTGGCATTAGGTCTTAAGATGGTGGGTTTTTGTGCAGCATATTAGCGTTTGTAGCGAGGAGCAATTCACAAATTAATTTTTAATGCATTTATTTACTTAACACTTTCAGACGCCACCTGTGAAGAACTATGTAAATATGTCAAATAGCTACTACGTTACTTCAAGGCACTGAATATTCTATTGTAACAAGAATAAAGAGATAATTCTTGAATTTATTAGTGTTATAGCAACTCATCCTAATTAAGTCGTTATTAAGTATCTCTTTACCCGCAAGTCATAGATGCTCACTTTTAGCATAAATAGAATAAAATCTCAGGCTAGGAATATAGTGCAAATTCATTTTCGGTAATGTACATGTTGAGCAAAGAAAAATTCTTCTTTTCTGATTGCTCGCAGAAAGCGGCACGTTGCACGACTCGTCGAACGTAATGGTGCCTTCAGAAGAGTGACCGTATGTACCAGTAGAATGCAAAATGAGGTTAAAAGAAGGCAAATTTATCATGAAGGAGGCTCAGTTATTCCAAAGTACAATATATCCTGCTCTTTCATAGCGTCTACTTGATGCAAATAGCAAAAACGAGTGATGTACACAATTGTGTACATAACGTCTCAAAGGATTAAGGAATCGTATTGTTATACTCAAAACAGCTATTTGGTGGCCAGAGCATATCAATGTTGTAGGTTGCCGGCAAAAAGTTAATGTAGGCATTTAATATGGCTAGTAAATTATTTTGGAGCAAATTTCTTTCATTCACTCTTTGAGTATGGGACAGTTACACAAATATATGTTGCACGATTGACATGTTGGACCAGATGCATGAATGCGCATGTTAAGTACTCAGCTATAAACATAAGTTGCCCACTTTCTAAAAAATAAATTTTTTATTTATATGTGTTGATCTTTAAATAATTGCACATCTTATTGCTGTGTACTTAATAAATATCAAGAACTTTGGTCATTCGGTGCAATCGCTTCGTATAGAAGCAATTGCATAAAGAGAAAAAAAGTATAAAAATGAAAAAATCTTTCTACCATTAAAATGGTTAACTTCTTAAAAAATAAAAATAAATATGCAAACACACATCACATCGTGCACCGTAGCACTAATTTATGCCTTGATCTCTCAAGACAGTATAAACTCGAAAACCTTTATCTTAATACTATACAGATGATGGATCGTTTGCTGTGGAGTAACTTTGAGGGGTTATGAATACTGTCATGTAGTTAAGTGCTATATAGAATAATTTTTAACACTTTATGTTGCTTAACGTGCAGTCAAATGTAAGCGTGCTTATGTTTTTACACACTATATTCCTCTCCAACTCAGTGACCAGTGCACTGGGCAATGAAAAAAGTGGTGTAGAAAACCAAGCAATGCCAAAATTGCAGCTCAAACCATTTTTGCAGCTTTTCCCAGAGGTGGGCAATATCTTTTGTATTGTAGGTCCCCCCTCAGCCGCATTTCCTTATGGGGGTACGTAAGATGAACGGCATTGTTTGCAAGGTAGCTCGCGTGCTTGAGATTCTCAAGTAAGGGACGTCAATTTAGGAGCTATCTTTGTGGAATTCAAATCATCGGAGCTAATTTATGTTCTCTCGAAACAATGTTGTGAAAAGGTAGCATTTTTAATCACAAATTCGCTCGCAATGTGAGAATGAATTAATGTCCAGTGAGATGGATACTAGGACGCACTTGGCGGGGAAAAAAATAAGCCTAAACGGGAAAATCATGTGGCATTCTCGACGCTCAGCTATAAAAAATGAAACAGGAGAATGCTGAAAATTTTACCAAAAGCATGGACATTAAGAAGGGAGCAGCATCTGAGGAGTTTAGCTTGTAGACACTAGGTGCACACTTGTAATTTTTTTTCCGTGGGCCCAGCAAAAAAAGAAATGTTTTTATTTTTTTTTTACTGGTCAAAACAAACTGTTGTGTTTTCTAAGACAGTTAACCTTTTGACTACACTAAAAGTAACACTCTTTTTAACAAAGAAATTTAGCATAATATGCCTACCCAAAGTGAAATAAATAAATTTCAGTGTACAGTTTAGTGGAATGGTTCTCCCTGGAAAACCATTGTGTTTACTGTCTCCTTAATCATTTTGCACATTTTTCAATAGCTCCTTAACTAGAAAAGAACACCGAATTTTAGTTTTTCATCTCGGGAAGGCAAGAGGTATGCTTCCATCACAATGTCGCCACTGCTGCTCGAAATGGTAAAGAAAACAAAGTGTGGCATTTATAATCGAAACTTCATAGATTGAGGTGTGGTATTCTTATGTTCCTGACTTTTATTTTAGGTGTTAGGGAAAAGGAGGGGAGAATACCCTGAAGAGTCTCGTGGCAAGGTGTTTGTATGGAAGCTAAACTGTGCATTTAATATGGCAAGCTGAAGAAATTAGTCACCATTGTAATCAAAATTTATTATTTAGGCACAATTCATTCGCCAGCCTTCATTTTATTGTAAACTAGTCGATAGGGAAACTTAACTCCCCCCCCCCCCATCTCCCATGAATGAGTGATGCACGGTTTCATACTTTGTACACTGAGCACACACCTTTCTATCAGTTTATTTCACAATTTTGTTACAGTGGTGAGATCACTGACAGACATGGACGAAAGGTTTCCCCATACCCAGGTGTCCCAGCAATGTTGGAAAAACTAAAGTCACAGAAGTTCCAAATGGGCTTGGCATCAAGGTAAATCACTTGCCTCCTTTTAGCACACAATAGAGTGCCGCACATCATATGGCAGCACTATGGGGCAAGCAGTGCATCTGATCCAAACAGCGCTCTTTGTTTACTTCAGTCTTTCGCCGATAGCAGTACTTATAACCATGTACTTTTGCTGATGGTTCAGATATGAAATCGTTCTTTTATAGGACTGATGACCCAGATGCTGCGAAGGAGCTCATAGCAGCACTTGATTGGAATAAGTACTTCCCGTATCAGGAAATTTACCCTGGCCGTAAAGTGACCCACTTCAAAAAGTATCACATTTTCTTTGTCTTTCTTATTTCTCCTGTTCTCAGTACCAAGTGTTTTTGCACTTTGACACTAAAGTCTGAAATTAGGTGCTAGAACAACAATACTGAACAATGATACTGAATTTTTTATATATTTCAATATATAACCAAAAATGTTTCTGGGAGTGGAGAAAGGGCAACTTAGTTGTATGGTGACATCAAAGTTGCTTAGCCAACATGTCCTTTTTTCAAATTGTGTTCAGATAAGCTAAAATGTCTGTGTGCTGATTAAACACATATTTGAATTTTGGCTTCAAAACTTCAAAGTAGGCTGGCATTTATTTTCTCAAACACTACTAGAAACTGATTTGACAGCATGCAGTCAAAGATGGACAGCAAGTGAATTGACAGCAGAAGTTGTAACTGGTGTCATCTACTTACTTATCTTTTTCATCTGTATATCTGCACCTGTTTTTAGTATGAACATAGTTCAATGCGATGCCTTTCTTGTATCTGCAAGCTTTGCTGTAGTAAAAGAGGCAGTCTGATACTTAGCACACTAAGAAAACAGAAGTCATTTGTATAAATTACAGTCTTAAACATGTTAGCCGTATATTATTATTCTACATGCCACAGGGAGACCAGTTCTGCATGGCAAGTTTCCTACGCTCTTCAGCAGCTTTTGAGGCCTCCTATATTATCCCCTATCTGTAAGGCTGCGGACCCATGTAATAGCCGATCTACACCAGCTACTAATAAATTGTTCGTAATCATTATCTTCCCCCCTGAGCAAAAAAAAAAAATAGCTCACATGCAAAAGCATGCACATTCTTCCAGTCCTTCTAAGCAATGGGAAAATGACTGTCATCAATGATCTACCAAACGATGATACTGGGACACCTTTGTCAGCCGCCAGCTTTAAAAATTGCCAAGTGCACAACTTAGAAAAGAAAAAGTTAGGAAGTGCCTAAAAGTACCTAGAAAGTAAGAAAATACCTAGCAATAGGCAGGGTATTGTAATAGGTGCTACACCTACTAAGAGTAAATGTGTTGCGATGGATTGGGGAAACTAAAGATTGCTCTCTCTATATATTATTATTATTAGTGAATACTTATAGGAAATTTCTGGGGGAGTGTATTTACTTAGAGACATCACACACACTAGTGTGTTTTTTGCTTTGAAAAAAAAAAGGTGTTTTAAGGCCCCTTTAAAAAGACACTAAATCAACTATTAAGTTGATAACTGATTGTAGGAACAGCACAACATAGAAGTAGTTACTGTGTAACTATGGAAGCGAAAAAACAAGGACAGAAAAGAGCGCTGACTTTCAACAAGGATTTAATATCAGAGTGGTGTACATATATAAGTGAGAAAAGGAGAAAATTGGGCATGTGTAGAAGGGTGGAGGAACAACCACTGCGATACAAAGTCAGCAAAACTCTTGGTGAATGAGCTGAAAACAAATACACATGTAGCTTAAAAAAGATCGAGATACGCAACCGATGGGCAACTTAAATATTTACCGTCAAACTTATTTATTTGATGGGCTTCAATTATCTCACGCATGGCTTGCGAGTTGTGCTTGTTTAATACCTCGCACCGCTCAAAAAGGAGCACGCAGCCGCAGTCTCGGCAGTGGATTCCGAAGTGTCCTTGAACCACATTGTGCACATTATTATTGTGCTCTCTTAAACGGTTATTGAGGCACCTTCCGGTTTGCCCTATGTATATCATTCCGCACGATAGTGGAACAAGATATACGACACCAACAACACAAGGTACAAAGCGCGTTCTGTGTTTCACAGTGCATCTTACTCTAATAGCAGCTGGATTATTTACCAACTTACAAAGGTTTGAAAGCTTTTTCTGGGGTGGAAAATACAACAGTGACACCAGTGCGTTTACCGATTTTTTTCAGCGGATGCGACACATTATACAGATAAGGAACTGCAACACAGTTCATAGGAACTGACGTGTTTTGAGGCTGAGACCACCCTCCTTGATTTTCAATTTGCTTCAAAAGTTTTTCCACAACAGCAGAAATCGGGGCGTTCGAGTAACCAGCGCTTAAGAGGCGCTCTACTTGTGCTTTGAAACTGCATTGCATCGAGTGCGGGCATGACCTCTTAAGGGGGGACGCGGCTTTGGCATCGCGAAATTCGGCCAAAAAATCGATTTTCTGGAAATCTCATTTTCACATTTTGTGACCCCTTTTCTATCTAATTTCGAAGTTTTGTCCCTGAAAACAGCGTAGAAATGACGTAGAAAATTTTTATCGAAGCGAGGGTGGCGATGAATTTCACGGAAATTGCGAAAAAACGGCGTTTTTCGAACCTCCGATATCTCCGCAACCACGTAACCTAGCGCCGCCATCTTTGTCTCTATGGATAGCGTGATTCTTCCGTTTCAAATTTGCCGCCTCGGCCGGCTGAACCAGGCAAGAGCAAGCCCAAAGCAAGCCAAAATGTAAAGATATCACAACAGTTTCCGATTGGTGACGTGCGTCACGTGACTGTACGGCGGCTCCGCATTGGTCGCCCGTGCGGTCGCTTGTAGAAATCGGCGCAAAGGTCGTCTGCTCTACTCGCTGACAGCGCTGACGGGCCGCTTACTGCATGTATTTTCAACTCGTCGCGGCGTGGTTTCGAGATCGCATCGCGCTGCGATAAGACCGGCGCTCGTGAAAGGAGAAAAACGTTGTTATCCAGTTTGGTGCATTGCAGTTTTGAGATCGGTTCCCACATGCGATCATGGACCGGCGATCGTTCAAGAAGAAACGCAAGACTGCGCAGCGATTTGGTGCTCGTAAGCCGAAGCCACCGATCGTGAAAAAACAAATTCAATCCGGCAACTTCTACGAGCAGCGACTACGGCGTGCGGCACGACGAGGACTTGCAGCCGAGCACAAGCACGCACGGAGCATCGTCCGCGAGCATCGACGAAACTGTTCATATGCCTGTGGAGCAGTGCTTTGTGCTGTCGGAGAAAACATCCGTTCGTCGTTCCGCGCAGGCTGCAGACATCGCAGATGCTAAGCCTAGCACTTCGTGCAAGGATGTATTCATCGCGGATGCCCAGCTAAGCACTTCGCGCGAGGATGTAGACGCCGTGCATGCTAAGCCTAGCACTTCGCGCGAGGATGTAGACATTGCGGATGCTCAGCCAAGTACTTCGCGCGAGGATGCGAGGCCGTCTACCAGCACCACCAGTAGCACGATTCGGGCCCAATTAGAGCCTCGTTTCGTGTCAGCGGAGGCATCTCACGAACGCGCCGCGGCTGTTCAGGAGTTCCTAAGAGCAGTGTCTGCGACGGAGCGCAAGATGTCACTGATGGACAAAGGGGACGAGAGCGACATCGAAACGGAAGACGAAGACGAGTTTTTCCTCGTGCAACGCGCGGCCCTGAATGGTCTGTTTGGCAGTGCCCTGTGCCCGCAGTGCAAAGAGCCGGGACTCAAGATGAAGCACGGAACTAAGCACGGGTTAGCGGTAAAGATGGTGCTCACCTGCACTGCTTGCGACGCGGACGCGAAAAATGCGTGGTCGTCACAGCGAATGGAAAACAGCAAGTCATTTGAAGTAAATATTCGGACCATGCAAGCTATAAAAACTATTGGAAAGGGATCAGCGGCACTCGGTGATTTTTGGTCTGTTATGAATGTATCACATAGGGGAATTCACAACAAGACTTTTCAAAGGCATCTCAAGGGGGAATTTCGGCCTGCTGGCGCAGCAGCCGCAGCACGTGTGTTTTGCGACGCTGTTGCAGCCGTTCGCAATGTGTACAGCCAAATGGAGGGAACACCCACCAAGAATGCCACGGTGGTGTACGACGGGACGTGGATGACACGCGGCCACGCGTCCCACATCGGCGTGGGCACGGTCATTGAATTCTACACCGGATTAGTGCTTGACAGTGTTGTCCTGTCCAATTACTGTCATGGATGTGCTGTGGGCCCCAAAGAAGGCGACGACGGCTACAGTGAATGGAAGGAAGCACATGTTTGCCAGAAAAACACAAAGGCAAACTCGGGCCAAATGGAAGTCGAAGCGGCCCTCATACTGTTTCGGCGCTCACTAAAAAAAAATGACCTGCTCTACACAACCATCGTTTGCGATGGTGACAGCCGCACTTTCTTAGCTCTGTGTCAGGACCAGACTTACGGTTTTATACCCCTGAAGAAAGAAGATTGTATCAATAATGTTAAAAAGAGGATGGGCACAGCCCTGTGGGCCATCTTCACAAAGAGCAAGAAAGACCAACCTATCGGCGGAAAAGGTGGCCTTACACAAAATTTGATCAAGCAACTGACTGACTATTATGGCCAAGCCCTTAGGCAGCATGCTGAAGTGGAGGATATGCAGCGAGCGGTCATGGCTACATTCTACCACACCACTTCGACTGACCAGGATCAACACCACGAACTTTGCCCACCAGGTCCTGATAGCTGGTGCAGACACCGGGCTGCAGAAGCTAAAGGTGGACCGCAGCCACCCCATAAGTACCACCTGGGACGACACGTTGGCGCTGCCCTGCTGCCTGTGTACCAGCGACTTTTGGACCCTCAGCTTCTTGCGCGGTGCCAGGGCAAAAAAAACTCAAAATGCTGCCGAAAGCCTGCACTCAATTATTTGGTCAATTCTGCCCAAAGAAGAGCATGCTTCATTGATAGCCGCAGAAACTGCTGTCAGTGAAGCAATCTGTAGGTATAATGCTGGGAACCTCCATGCCTACACCCAATTTTGCACATCTCTTGGTCTCCAACCTGGACGCCATGCACTTCGTAGAGCAGCCAAAAAAGATGCCATGCGGAAAAAAAAGGCTGCGAAAGCTCATCAGGCTAAAGGTCAGATGGCCAAGCGACGCCGCACTGCAAAGGACACTAAGGACTACAACCCTGGTGCTTATTAGGCATGTAAACCGTGACTCAAGACTTTGAACCTCGTTTTCTCAATACTGTTTTTTTGGCATGTTGCTCAGCTCGTGGAGCAGATATCTTCGCAACTACTTGACAGATTTTGA